CCTCATCAGACCTCGCATGACGAGCAAGCGATTCGTCACGAGAACGGTATAGATGACACTGAGCCCCACCGCGGTGCAGAGGTAGGCAAGCTGGACATTGATTATCGTACCATATGACGCCGGCACTCGACTGGATCAAGACGAGGATAGACATTGCTGCTGAAGATGTCAGTGACTGCTGTCGCTTGATAAATCATGGACCGCACTAATCATGGCGATATAGATAGCGGACATCGGGATTATCACGTATCTCGCCCAATTCCATATCACACAACATCGGTGAAGCTAAATATTTTGAGTCAGACCTGTCCTGCCCATATGGAAAATATTCAACTTACAAGCAGGGCTTGCATAAACCACTCCATGACGAAGTAACTACAATAACGTCAACATCAAAGGTCCTGATATGGATAGGCAAAGGCATTTCACCAGGAAATCGCCACAATATTGATAGGGTAAGCCACTTCATTCTCAATTAATGCGACGGCCCACCAGGCGTATCACGAAGGTCTATCCAGATCATCTGGGTGTATTTTGCGTTCGCAGCGAAGCCTATTGTCCCCAATACAAAAGTGATCAAGACGTAGGGAAGTAGAGCTAAGCGATGATCTGCAATCTTCCCACCATGTTGAGGCCGTCGCATGAGAGTAGCCGCCGCTTGTACAGTAAGGATAAAGAATCCGCCTGTTGCGGTACATATGTTAACTTCCAAATTGTCGCAGACTGAAAACTTACCGTAGGATACTGCTCCTAACATCATTCCGTCGAGACGAGATCGCTCAAGCCACAGATCTGTCGATGGGGTGTCGGATGACATGGCCCACAATTTGGTCACTGACCGGTATAAGGAGGTCGGGATAAATATTGCCGAAGCGCCCTATTCGGTGGTGGAAATAGCCAAAAGGATGATTGAGAAAGAGTGGGCAGAGCTTGAAACGTCCTCGTCATAGTAGTATCACGGATTTATGATTCGATGATCGAATAGCAGTGCTCAGCTGGTGCGGATATTCTCACCTTTACAGCGAAAATTTGGACAGGCATTCCTATAGACTGACCATGGCCGCCGCCAAGTGAGTTTGCCCAACTTGCGGTTGGTCGAACAAAGTTAGCAATCTCGTCTGATTGGACCGTGACATACGAACAAGATAGCGACCAGCGGCGTTATTGGATGCCTGTATATTTATACCAGAGTGGCGTAGCTCTGAGAGACTAGCTCAAACTTGGGTTCAAACTTTTGCGGTCGGAATCCCGACTTGACACCAGTCACTGGGGTTGATGTTGCAGCTGGTACAAGTACACACGGGAACGACCGGAGTTGAACGTCTGCAGCGGTGTTTACCTGGACCTCGTTACATATGGTCACTTGGTACTTGAATAAAGTCAAGTAAGTGCAGACTGCGCAGAAGGCTTGAAGCTTGAATTCAAGGATGTTCAGTGTTACTATTTGCCCTTGTTAGCCTCGGAGCCCGCCCACACGGCCGCAACTCTTGCTCGATGCAGCAACATTGATACAACCAAGCAAGTGAGAATCATGTCAAGGTAATACACTTATTTTCCCATGCGCAATAATGTTTACAGTTTTGATTGAGCAGCCAACAAGACTACGCCGTTTGCATGCACGCATTGACTTGTATGGGAATGATCACTTGTCATCTCAGATCGACCCTATCGCTCACAAACTCGTTTTTTAGTGATCGGCGTACAAAACCATGATGAAAGGTCTCGCTACAATATATCAGTCGAGCTTGATGATGTGGAAATTCTTCGAACAACCCAGATACTTGGGGTGGGTAAAATAGTGTTCAACACAAAATGTAATGCGTAAGTCAGGCTCTTATCCCACCGTGACTACTTCAACTTTTTTCATTCTTGAAGCACGGGAAAAGACGCTAGCATCGTGCGGTTTAAGCTATACAAGATCATAGACGATGAAGCCGAGACTACATCACTGGAAGGGGAGGTGCAGTACTCTCTAGCAGAACCGAAGTCCGCACATGGCATTGAACAAGACGATGGCAAGTTTCACCTTCTGACCCCATGAGTGACCGACTGATACCCGATGCAGGTTTTTCTATAGATTTACCTCCATCAAGTGTTTCGTTATCTGTCCGATTGATGCCTTCCCAGAATGAAGAAAGGTTTGAATAAGCTTTTTGGAGTTTTTGTTGAGCCTTATATGCCATCTACAGGAGCGATGCAGGTGCTAGGTGCCTCACGCCTGTACGACCCATCCATTGACACAGGAGGTCATACTCTAATCGGGCTCCAGTCTGCAGATGATGACTCGGGAACCGGTCTTCAAAATATGGATTGGGGCTCATTGAGTGATCGAGCAAATAGCCTCATGAGTAGCTACAACCAGACGCACCGAGGTGAAGACATAGAAGAGGCCATCCGAATCCTTTCAGCGTGGTACAGTGGCTTGCCCTCTAGTAGTGAAGATCGCGCTGCTTGTGCCAACAGCATTGGTCTCGCGTTCCATATGCGTCTCCGGCACTCGAATAGCATTGACGACCTCGAGCAAGTCGTACATTACTGGAGTATAGCTATAGAGTCATGGACTTCTGGATCACCATATTACGTCCCTTTGGTGGTCAACTTGGGAGGCATGCTTCGCAGGAGGTTTGAATGGCAAGGAAAATTCGAGGACGTCGAACAAGCCATTATGATGTATAGCGCAGCTACCTCCAGCTGTCCTCCAGATAGCCCATATCGTCACAACCTCCTCAACAATTACGCTATCGCAGTTTTTAGTCGTTTTGGGCAGACTGGAGATCCTCAAGACCTAGATCTCTCGATTCAAATCCACCAGGAATGTCTGTCGCTGCGACCACCTGGCCACCCAAGCCGTTTCTCGACCCTGTCAAGCCTTGCCGATGCAATATGTGTTCGCTATCATCATAGAGGAAACGTGGATGATCTCACCAGTGCAATGGCATACCACCACGGAGCGTTAGAACTTTGTCCAGCCGAAAGTCCATCTTACGTAACAATTCTCATGAATATCGGACTCGCATTGCGGTATTCATTCGAGCATAACGGTGACCTGCAGAACTTAAATACAGCAATAAAGTATTATAGCATTGCGCTAGCAACTTGCCCTGATAATCACCCGACACGATCTTCCCTCCTCGCCAACTACGCGGGTGATCTCTATACGAGATTTACGCACAGTGGAGACATCAATGACCTCAAGTATGCAATCGAGCTCTATACCAACTCCTTAGCCAATCAGTCCCCCACGCATGCATATCGCTTCTCCTCCCTCCACGGTCTTGCGATCGCTTTGATGAGTCGCTTCAAGGTTTACGGCGTTCCCGAGGATCTTAATCTCGCCATAACACACATAACATCTTCCATGGCTCTGTGTGGACCCTCGCACCCAGAACATATATCTGTGATTATGGTCTGGATCAATTGCCTCATCATACGCTACAAGACGCGTGGAGATATCATTGATCTCGATGCTGCTGTCGAGCACTCTGAGGCAGCCATACATTTCTGCCCGAGAGAGAGTCCTAACTACTTTCCCTTGTTGACTCATGTCAACAACGCCTTGTCTGCACGGTTTTCTCGGAGACAAGACGTTCGAGATCTGGAGAGGATAATTGATTACTGCGACTCAGCTCTCAGAGATGTCCCAGATCACCATATCTCCAATCGAGTCCTTGCCATGGATCGTGCAGATGCTCTGCTACAGCGATATTTCCATGAAGGGGGCATGAACGCCCTAGAGCATGTCATCTCATTTTACCGAGACATAATGCAAGATTTATCTAGAGGTCATCAAGCCTTTTCCCGTGCCCTCATTCAACTAGCATCTGCACTTCAAGCTCGCTTTGAGCAGAACGGGAACGCAGACGATCTTAATTGCGCAGTCAATCACTATCGCACGGCATGCGAGGCGTGCCCTCCTGGTCATGATGACCACTCTGCTGCCTTCTCGGGTCTCGGAAACGCTCTCCTACTGCGATACCAAATATTCGGTCCCCTGGATGACCTCGATGAAAGCTTAGTTCATCTAGCTCATGTTGTCGAAGCCCGTGCTTTGGCCACCTACCATCCGGACTATCCCAAAGGTCTTGCCAATTTTGCATATGCCATCTTCGCCCGCTTCCAAAACCAACACGACATCACTGATCTGGACATCGCAGTGAATTATCTACAGGCGGCTCGGGATCATCCCAACCAATCAGAGGGACGGCACATTTTGACTTACCTTGCCACTGCACTATCTGCTCGTTACAATGAACGAGAAGACATCGATGATTTGCAAGAAAGTATCAAGATGTTTGAAACAGCGCTTCCCATGTTTGCCCCCAATAACCCCCAGGCGCTTCACCTCCGCCGAAACCTTGCTCGTTCTTTGCAGAAAATGTATGTAAAACGACAGACAATCGAAGATTTGAATGCTGCGATTGCCCATTTTGAGGCATATGTGATGATCTCGCCAGAGGATCATCCCGATTTGCCGCTTGCGCTGATTTCCCTATCAAGCTGCAGGCATATGCGTGCAAATGCGGGTAAAGACGATGACGGCTTTCGCAATGCTCTCTCACTTCTTGCCACTGCCAGTGAGAAGCTGCCCGAAGCACACCCATGGTTTTTTCTAGCTTACCACCTGTACACGACAATTTATGGAGATTACTACAGGCTAACCGAGGATGCTTCGTTTCTAGAGAAGGCATTCCAGTATCACCAACTGGGTTCTAGCGCACCTGGGATCCACACATGGGATCAGCTTACTGCGGCTTTGCGTTGGAAAACGGATGCCGATGTTTTTCATCATACGTCGGCTCTGGAAGCATACAAAACTTCTATGAAGCTACTCGATCGTCATATTATGGCTACTCCTACGGTTTCTGGGCGCTATAAAGCTTTGCTCGGAGGTATATTGCGTGATACGCCCTCACTCGCTGCAGATGCTACTGCCTGCGCGATCAGCGCGGGCGATCTCGAACTGGCAGTCGAACTCTCAGAACAAGGCAGAGGCCTTCTTTGGTCCCAGATGTCTCGCTTTCGAGCAACCATTAATGATTTGCGAGCCGTTGATGACGAAGGGCGTCAACTTGCGGATGAATTTGGGTTCCTCAGCGCTGAGCTTGGGAGGAGACAGTCTGACTCCTCCTCGGGTATCAGGACTGTCACTGAAACACTGAGACGAACACAGCAGGAGGAAGAGGCACGTCAATATCGCCAGGTCTCTTCTCAATGGGATGCTGTAGTGAGTAAAATACGGCAAAAGCAAGGATTTGCGTATTTCTTGGCCCCAATGCCCTACAAAGAGCTAAGGGCAGCTGCGATTGCAGGCCCCGTCGTTATCATCAATGCAAGCATAAAGCGATGCGATGCGATCATCATTACCAAAATCGGGCCTCCTCGACTCATTACACTTCCCGATGCCTCGCTAGTGGGCATTACCATCATGTCTGATGACTTCCGCAATGTCCTGCGGAATACTGCAGGAGTTGGAGAAGAGAAGATGAGAGAAACGCAACTTATACCCGTCTTCCGCAGACTTTGGGATGCTGTGTTGGCTCCTGTTGTTGAGGTACTTTTGACCATCGTGCCGAAGGGCTCTCGTGTTTGGTGGTGCCCAACTTCGAAACTCACTTCGCTGCCCATTCACGCTGCTGGACCATACCGCAAGGGAGCAAGCAACATGCCCAACGTTTATGTTTCGTCATATACACCAACCCTTTCTGCCTTAATACGCTCAAGGCGGTAAAATATATCCAAGGTCGCGCCGAATACTCTGTCCTTTGTTTCCATAGGTCAATCAAAACCGGAATCCAGAAGTGGAGAAAAGGAGTTGGA